ATACTCACAGATAGTTTGAAGGTACCGCTGTCTTCGCAGCCGAGGGCAGCCAACAGCTCAGTTAAGCTGAGTCTCGAGCTCTCAGCGCGAAGCAGACCTCGCACTAATCGCTTGCTTTCCGAAGATATGTTCTCCCACACTGGACCTGTACCAAATATATTAGTTAACTAGCTGTTCTCATGCGACTTCAGCCACATAAAATTATGAAAATTTAATTTCATTGTTTACATGTGTCAAATTACCAATTGAAAATGTCAAAGCAACCTTGCTTCCGTAATGTTGGCAGCAACTTATGGTCTCTTCCCTACATTAGGGTTTTTATCTAAAATATTTACTCCCTAAGTTTAATGGCGTGACAATATATAGTCTAAAGCGTTACGTAAGTGTAGGGCTTTTCATAAAAAAAAGAATAATTCAAAAATATGCTGTAATTGCTGACATCTTAGGCAACAAAGAAGTGTGTGTTTACGCTTTATAATAGTATAGACTAGCTGTTCCCGTGATCCGCGTGTAATTATTTAAAACTATATTTTGTTGTATAAATTTGTTAAACATAGATTAAACATACTTAAGCGCGGAAAAAAATTTTTTTTTTATTTAAGTGTGCTAAATTATAGTTTGTTAAAGTTTGCTGTACGATATTCAACTTCAGGTGGGAAGGGAATTTAATTTCTTAACTTGAATGTATTATATGAAAAACGTTTTCTATACTAATAAAAAACATAATACTAATAAATGTGAAAGTTTAGATGGTTGTATATTTATTTCTACGTTGCTCCAAAAACCAACTTAACGGATTGATAAAATTCACAGAAGTAGAACATAGTGTAAAAACACGTAGTCTACTTATATTATTTTAATTCTGCGTAAAACCGCGGTTAAAAGCTAGTTACAAAAAAATCTCACCTTCCATAGTGAAGCTTCCAGTCCTGATCCTGTCCATGAAGGCTGTGACAGGCTCCTTATTGGAGACGGGCTGGAATGGCGCCTTGCCGCACAACATGCAGTACTGGAAATAAATAAAAAAAATATTTTTGCTAAGATATTTTTTACTTATTATTTTGCTCGTGGGCGAAGTCGCGAGCGGCAACTAGTATTTAGAATACCTATTATTATAATTTTTTATAAAATAAGATGGCGAAAGTGCAAACGGCCACCTGAATCCGCCGAAATGGCGAAGCGAGCGCTGCCCACAAACATCTGCAATTGCAGATGCGTTGCCTACCTTCATTGACGCACATATAGAAGATATTTCCCTTTGCATCTCTTCTGCTATCAAAACCAATTTTCCTGTACATCCTAACCTTTAAATGGAAAAGGGACAAAAACTAGGTCTCCTAAACATAAAATTAGGCCCTAAATGGGTACTTACAAATATAACACCAAGACTCCAAAGATCGCAAGCAGGTCCGTACCCGGGCGCGGAGGAGGAGCGCGCGCACGACACCACCTCCGGCGCCGCGTACGGCAAACTATTATAAAACAAACATTATTAAAATACTTAGACTTATCAGAGATTAAAAGAAAATGACGTTTTTTAAAATTAAATAATGAAAATTTGCAAAGAAAATAAAATAAGATTCATACTGTGAGTTTACTATTAAAAATTATTTCGAAAAATAGGCGTCCCGAGGAGAGGGACTGCCCCCACTCCTGGTAAAAAAAGAGAATACATAGATATAAAATCTACATGGCATATGGTGCATGGTAAATGTCCATGTGCACAAATCTTACTAATATTATAAATGCGAAAGTTTAGATGGATGGATGTTTGTTAGTGTTTGTAGCCAAAACTGCTGAACAGATATCGATGAAATTTGGTATAGATGTAGAGGATAGTCTGGAAGAACACATAGGCTACTAACTTTTGGCTTTTTTTTAACTCCACGCGGACGGAGTCGCGGGCGAAAACTAATAAATTATAAGTAATTTACTTTATATTACAATACTAACCTAGACTATGTCAATTTACTAACAAAAGAATGAATAATATATAAAAAAAATCCCATTACTGACAGCACTAGGTCTAGACATAGCTTACATCGCCTCCCATATTTCAAAAGGAACAGAATCTATTAAAAATCAACACATTACATTTAGTTATCTTTGTGCTACAAACCACAATTGACATACCTGTGAAAAACATTACCCTCCTGTGAGTAGGGCGTATTTACCTGAAGCAAGGCGTCATCATGCGCGCCCGGTCGTCGTGGTCGGGCAAACGACGGGCGAAACCGAAGTCTACCACTTTGACACGCGCCTCGTGCAAGCGGGTTGACGTCAGCAGAATGTTCTAGAAGTAGAACAAAACAATTAATTCCTGAAGAATAAAGAGTAAGGCAAGACAATATTTTTGGCTCATAAGACATCTAATAAGCCATAGATCCTAACTTATAGCTCATAGTGATTGAATAGGATGTCAACGATAGAATAGTATGGATATGACTGGAAATTGCTGCCATAAGTCATATTACAATAATTTATTTATTATAGTAAATTAACAAACTAAAAAAATCTGCTAATATTTTACAACACAAAAATTGATTACAGTTTGAGAAAAGTTACATTTTTTACATGGATAAATTTTTCGTTCGACGATAAACCTTACCTATCTTATTAAATCTTATCTACACTATTCTACGTACAGTCGGGGAAAATTACGGTGTTACTTAAAAACTTCAATCGTTGGAACAATTTGAAACGAGACTCGGAACAAAAACTGATACAAATTATGCTAATACTAATACTAATAATATAAAATGTGAAAGTTTAGATGAATGGATGTTTGTTAGAGTTTTGGAGCCTAAACGATTGAGCGGATTTCGATGAAATTTGGAATAGATGTAGAGGATATTCTGGACATAGGCTACTTGCATTTGTTTTTTTTTAATTCCGCGCAGACCGACTCGTG